TAAGAAAGAGTTACTTTATTTATTAAGCAAGCGTCCTATTTATACATTTTGATGGGGAAGGGTTCCAAACCCGGATCCTAGGTTTCAAACCCTGACCCCGGGTTCCGAACCCGTACACGTGCTAATACTATCGCGTTTACATATTCTACTGCTTATACATATGGAAAAGAAGAACTATACGGCAAAAAAATGCAGGTAAGGAAAATTTCGAAGAAATTTTCCGTAACAATGGCAACCCTACAAACAATAATGCATCCAATCTTGAATGGTGCACACAAAAAGAAAATATGCAATATGCTGTACGTCTTGGGCTTATGTGCCAACGTTTTGTCAACTAGATTTTCGATGATGGATCTTTCCGAGAATTTCTGAAGCACGGTGTGTTACTGTAATTAATCATATTTGGATATTTAGAGGGTGTGTCGAGGACTTCAAGCTCAAGCTGGAGGGTATCATTGGGAGTATGTGGCACAATAAGTACGATTTAACTTTATTGAAATTCGGCATAAGACAGACAGGCTTATCGATAAGACTGCAAAAACCAAACTACAAGGAAATCAAGGAAATATTTGAACATCTACCTGGTGTAAAACTCTTAGAACTAAATAATTTAAAGTTATTTGGAAAATGAATAAAATCAAGTATATCACCTAGCTCAAAAACCGCTTCCCAACGAGCAGAGTCATGCTAGTCCAAAAATGGAAGATAATCACCCTTATATAAATTCGTAAGTATTTTAGTTGAGTCGAAGAAATTATTAGAAACGCCAGTTAAGTATATTATTAGAAACCGAGGTAAGTGAGGAAGCCCCCCCGCATCTAATATTATTAACGATTAAAGCTTCGAGTTTCCAACACAGCTGGGTAAGTATATCATCATTAGGTGCAAAAACCAATGTTAGTAAACCATCAGATTCTCAACCTCCAATTTCTACTTTACCCAATGATCCAGAGAAAAAGTGAAAACATATCATTAATAAATTATTGGACTAATATTCTGTAATATCTTTCAGTTTCATATCAATTCCAATGATGCAACCTCATATAATTAAAATAAAAAAAAATTCATTGAATTTAAATGGATGGCAATTCATGTATTTTTTCTTGTGTATATGACCACATTTATTTTTGTTGCAAAGCAGGAGCACTAACGAAGTGGCTCATATATGTTTTCGTTTGTATCAATAAAACAAATAGATATATTTATTAAGGACTTCATAATTTTACATTTTGCATGATTGATTGAAACTATCAAAAGAAGCTAAATTCTAACTGTTTTATTTTGAATAACGAAATTTTTTATCTTGATCAAAATATCTAGGATATTTTTTCTTTGATCAGGATCCGAATAATCAAAGCACGGAAATTTATTTGAACCTTGATCCACTGGATATCTGTATATATACATTTTAAGGTAATTAAATTCAATCTCTGCTTTGTAAAATGTAAACCGTGTCCCAATTACACGTATTGCAAATAATGATTGAGCACGGTATTTTTCTTGTATTTTTTCGTGGTTTACAGATGCTGAAGCCAATAATTCACCAGCTATTTGACATTCGCCCCACCAAGTACTTCTGATAACGTCATCCAAGTGCTTGTCTTCATCAATTATCACAAATAGATTGTTCTTCCATATAGAAAAACCAGTTTCCGATACTACCTTTTTATTGTGCACTGTGAAATAACAATCTGCCTTCAGTTCCAAGGAAAGCGGGAATTCATTAAATTCTAAAACTCCCAAAAGAAAGTTTACAAATGAGTCGGTAACTCTCACGCTTTTCTGCACTTGAAAATTCTTTTATTAATACATTTGACATATATCTAGCCAACGCTCTTTCTTTATTATTCCAACCTTCAGTAAGGGAAGCGTCAGCCCAGGCACCAAAAAGTTGATCCTTGTTCGCATTTCGTAAGAGAAGACTGGTATTGTATGAAAAATCAGGCGTATCTTCAAACATTTCGATGGCTCCATTTGCGTAGTGAATATTAAGCGCACTTAAGTCTTTCCTTCTAAATTCACTAGTACTGTCCGCAAGTTCCGAGGGATTTCTCAGACCTGGTTCTTGAGACATTGTTTGAGTTTCCTATAAAGCTAGGCTAGAAAGAGCCAAAATCTCGCAAGGAAACTTTTTGTAAGTGCGCAGAAGGTGATTTTTCGCGTTTCTCTGCGTCACACCTGATCTTGAAATCTGATTGGCCAGTGAAATTTTTTAGGTTGGTAACGCTAGGACAGTTGTACAAATAGGTGAAGTAATTCGGCCTGAATTAGTTTAACCGGGTTTTAATTTAAGCCGTTATAGTTTGGCATCTTTACAATCATGAATATAGATACTGTAGATTCACATAATTTCGTCCGCGATTTATTTATTGGTTTATCAACTAAATTCACGATACTGGGTAAAG